GGCCGCAAACTACATGAAAACTGCCGTAGAAGAATGAAAAAATCAATTATTTCTACTATCGATCAGGTCAGGACTATTAACAGATATTGCAGATTCTTCTGTAATTTTATCAAGAACTAGCATTAGAGCCTGGCGTTGCCCGGGGAAGTGACAGTAAGAGATAGATCAAGTATCGACCATCATAAAGACTGAAAAATAAAATTGACAAAGATTATTGTTTAAGGTTGACGTACACGCATGTCTTAATTATTTTTTTTTTTTTTTTTTTACGAATTGGTCAAACCCAAATTCAAACAAAAACATTGTTTACAATCGTTATGAGTCTATCGATTGGTGAATAGAATTTTATTATAAACAATTGTCTTGTAAATGGAATTTTTAAAGCATTCTGAATGTAAATAAAGAAAAAAAAGTGTGCAAGACAATAAAAATACTACCTGCCGAAAAAAAGTGGATGTTTTTTATCGGCTGAAAATGTAAGAAATCCGATCCCATATATAAAGGACACACACACACACACACACACACACACACATAAACAACCTGGGTTTTTAACCTAAGTCACTCCACGGAATCGCTAAAACATAGAGCATAGTCCGATGAAAAAAGACGCCAAAGTTTATGAAAACAAAATTTTATCGTCAAAATGCTTATTTTTTTTATGAAGAGGATATACTAAATTTTTTTTAATTATATTTTTAAAATTTTTCCATCTTTTAGAATATTCTAAATTTTGATTTAAAAACATTGTTTCTCTTTGTCGCAACAAGGGTAGTAAATAACATAGATAATTTTTAGCGCTTTTTTGTATTTACACACATTAATTTGGAAAATCTTGCAAAAATAAAAATAATTGTTAGATGTTAATGAAACTTTCAGAAACTATTCACAGATGATCGAAATTATTATAAACATTTTTTTTTATTAAAGTCATGGCAGAAATTTTTTTTTTATATTTATTAACACCCCCATAACTAATTTTATGAAAAACTCTAGAAATTCGAGACCATCGGTTTTAGTGATTACAAAAGTTAAAAGCACATGGCGTTGAAGAATGCAAATCATGTTTGTTTTTTGTTTTTGTTTTTTGTTTTTTGGCCAACGTACCTGAAAATCAGCTGTGAATTGTAACATACAGAACTCAATAAAATAAATATATCATTTAGTTTCAAATGCTTTTATTTCTTTTAATTTGTTTTTATGAATATGGACAATATTTTCTGAAAGCAAAAAAAATTTTTCAATGAAAATTGAATTTTAATACAATTATTTCTTATTTCTTTAATTTTAAAAAGATTTTTTAAAAATGTTTAAATTGAATTTAAAAAATATTTTAACATTAGTTAAAAAAACAACATCAACCTTTCAAAATGTCCGTGTGAGATTGTCATTGTCTAGCGCTTTGAAAATTGTATAATTTGGACCAATCAGATTAGCCATGGTAATTAAGAAATGTAATTTTTTTGTTTATAGTCGGACAGTAATTATCAAGTACGGAAGACCAACAAGAATACAATTTAGTTGCATTATTTGAGTTCAGCATTGTTCTCCGCTGTTAAGCCCTTTACTTTTGCGAAACACGTATGGAGAAGTTAATTTGAGTTTTCAATTTCAACTGAGAAGGGTACCTACAAGTAACAGTATCATCTTATGAAATTTAACTACTGCTAAACTTTAATTTATATGATCTTATTTTTATATTAATCTCAGTTATGACATTTTTCCATAAATGAAATATCAAAATTAATAATAAAATGAATGGAAATACAAATAACACAGTAAAATGTAATAAATGTACATAAAATTATAGTATTTTATGTACACTTCTGATAAAATTTCATAAGAAATGTACCTAAATTAATTAGATACCTTTTTCTTATGAAATTTAATCTCACTATTAACAGTCTTATTTTTTAATTTCTTTATATTTTCCATAAAGCATCGTAAACGTAAAAATGAAAGCTAAGTACAAAAAAAAAAATTAGAGCGCTGAAAGTTTTCCTTAAAAGTAACAAGGTAAATAATTTGTTCACTTAAATAATTTCACTTCCTTCCATCCGTAGAAAAAATTCTCCTCCCGTAAGTTATCTAAACGTCATGAATGTGCCTTTCGTCAATCGTCAAGCGACGCGAAAAGTTATGACCTGCTTTGTTTTATTTTCAAATTACATTTTTTCGGCGCAGAAGCTAAGTTAAGCTTGGTTCAAAATATTTTAAACAAACAGTATAATATCTGTTTTTATTAAAATCAGTTTTGAAAAAAAGATAATTGACTTTTAAAAGAATATCAAAGTAAGATTTTAATCTTTTTTATCAAATAGAAAAAAATGATTGAAAATGATTATCTGCCCTTTTTTTTACCAAAAAAAAACAATATTTTTAACGAAAATTTCAGACGTGCTAGGAACGATTAAAAAATGTAAGAAAATACCCCCAAAATAGTTTGCTCTTTCCTCTTTAATAATAATATGAACATTAGACGATAAAATTTTGTTTTCGTCAAGTTCGGCGTCTTTTTCATCATGCTATGCTTTTTTGTTTACATTTTCGTCTGTGAGTTCTCCCCCTTTCATTCTCACGATGTGTCTTAATCGTGTTTTCAAATTGGTTTTATTAAAAGTTAGAACCACCACAAGATCATTTATGTAGTCCTGTGAAGTTTTGTTGAAATCGGCTAAAAAATTTAGGAAATTCGATCCAACATATAAACGTTACAGACACACACACACACACACACACACACACAACCTGCGTTTTATAATAAGTAAGATCTCTAAATATATATAACAGTAACAGGTCTTTACAAATAATCCAACTAATTACACAGTAACAGTTATATACAACTAATTCAGCGAATTACACCAGTAGATTTGTATCTAGGGGTGAAGGTACTCACCCGTTTTGATGTTGTTTAACTTCGTCGATCATATGAAAACCGGTGTTTCAACGTGAGGGTGGTCTTACGTCTGAAGCTCTTAAGTCTAGAGTCAACCATTACATATTACGTAACGTCATAATCAGAACGTTCTTCTCCCGTCCGTGAATCCGTAACACGAGGGGAATAGAAAAATAAGACGTGGTTGACTATATATGGAAGGAAAAGGGAGATAACCGCTCCCTGTGTGATAGAGTTGAAATAATAGACTGAGAGCATCAATAGAAAATACGAAAACTTAAGGTATCAATGCCTATGAAAGGATGAGGATAATAGTTCGAACATGTGAGAAATATAGACAATGCAAAACAAATTTGGCCAGCAATACCTATCTTGTAAAAGAAATTCCTAATGCTCCCAAGAAAATTAAATTTCGGCATGACCCATAAGAAGTCGATATGCCGCGAAACAAATAAACAACCACTACAGAAAAAAAAAAAAAAAAAAAATTGGGGGAAGCAGCTCCTGTCGAACTCTCACACTTGGGCAGAGAGGACCTGGTCGAGGCTATGCCGAAGGGCAGAGTTTCGTCCGGGGTGATAGACAGACCCGAACCCGGGTTCTACGGGGATTTTTTTGCCGAGCCTACGGGCTCAGATGACCCACGTTAAACTCGGCCTTGTGCCATATATGTCCCTTGTGGGAGAGGGGGGCTGTTAAATATCAACAAAGAACATATTTCGGATACTTGCTATGAAGGCTAGCAAGTGTAAAACACGTGGGAAATTGGCGCAAAGCAATCTTCCTTATTAATTTTTTTTTTCAAACTTTAAGTTTAGTAAATGTTGTTTAGCGGAATATCAGCACCTCTATCGGTTATTTAATGCCGAAATCTACATATTTTGTCCACAGTTTCATGGTATGAACTGTATTTTGTATATTATTTTATTTCTAATGGCATCTCGTGGCTGTGAAATAGCAAGCTTGTCTTGCTAGAGCAGTTACACCTGAATAGTGAATTCGTTCCTCAAGAGTAACCTATACTTTCAGCCTTATGCCACATCTAAGATATGCTTGGAAAAATCACTGTATCGTTTGTAGCTGATATATTGTAGGTGTTATGTTTTGGCATAAACATATTTCTTCAAGGTAGGACTTTATGTTGACGGTTACAGATTTTTAAAATAGTTTTGTTCCCTTTATTTTTTTTGAAGTACTGATAGAAACAATGTGAGTTCATTCAGTTAAAATATGTTTCGCCGTGAGTGCAGGTTGGCCATGTTGTACATGATGGTTGGTTTTCATTCTTCAGAAAGTATCCTGTCTAGTTTGTATTCCAAAACTCCTAACAAGAACAATCTTTTGCCATGTAAAGTTTCACAAAGATCAAACTGACATTTTGACAAAATCAAAAAATATATAAATCAAAATGAATGATAATGGCACAGTTTTTTTGTTTTTTGTTTTTGGTTTCGTTTTTCGTTTCGTTTCGTTTTTCTATTCTTCATTTTCTTTTTTCCGGAATAGTACCAAATGTTAGAACTTGGTAATTTTTTTATATTGCAAGAAAAAAACCATTTTGGGTATTAAAACGGTTGATGGGTCCTTTCACACACACACACACGCACGCACGCACGCACGCACGCACGCACGCACGCACGCACACACACACACACACACACACACACACACACAAGATACATGCATAGATAGATAAGATACATGCATAGATAGATATATAGATAGATATCATGCTATTATAATTTTTCACAGTATGGGGATTTTTTTTTAAATTACAGATATTTAATAGAATTTTATATATAGATACGCAAGGGTAATTTGAACAAAGCCATATGCATGTCGTAATGAAAAAAAGAATACGTACTTGAAGAAAAAAAATTAGTGAAGAGAAGATTCTGTTGGGAGTAATCCATAAAAAATATAATAATAATAATAATAATAATTCGAAGAAGAAGGAGCAGACTGAGAAACTTAATGCGACATTCATGCGTATAAAGAGGTAGAATGAGAGAGAGAGAGTGAGAGTGACTAAGTTAAAAGGATGGTGATAAAAAAGAGGGGGAAGCGAAGAGAATGAGACTGGGAGGAAAAAGAGAATGAGAAATTAAGAGAAAAAGAACAAGTGGAAGAAGAAGAAGAAGAAAACAAGAACAAAAATAAGATCAAGAATAAGAAAAAGGGTGCTTAAATGCTGTATAGGAAGGAGGATATTATAAAATAGAGACGATTACGAGGTGAGGAAGAAGAAAAAGAAGAGGATGAAAAAGAAAAGAAGAAGAAGAAGAAGAAGAAGAAGGATGTTGAAAAGTGTAAAAGGAGGGTACGATAAGAAGAGGAGAAAAGAAAAAGAAGTAGGAGGGGGATGAAGCTGAAAAAAGAAGGAGGAAATGAGAAGAAGAAGAAGAAGAAGAAGAAGAAGAAGAAGAAGGATTTTGAAAAGGTGTAAAGGGAGGATATGGTAAGAACAGGAGAAAGGAAAAAAGAAGGAGGAGGAAGCTGAAAAAGTTGTATAGGAAGGAGGAAATGAGAAGAAGAAGAAGAAGAAGAAGAAGAAGAAGAAGAAGAAGAAGAAGAAGAAGAAGAAAGTTGGCTGAAAAAGATGTAGAGAAAGTAGGATATGATAAGAAGAATAGGAGGACGGCGAGGGAAGAAGAAGAAGTTAAAAACGGATGTTGAAAAAAAAGGAGAGGATGGAAAAGAAGAAGAGGAATATGAGAAAGAAGTGTAGGAAAGTGGAATACGATGATGATGAGGATGATGATGATGATGAAGTAAAGGGAAAAAATAAGACACAGAAGGAAATTTAAAAGAATTATGATGATGATGATGATGAAGGCGGGGAATAGCGTGGCAGGAGATGATGCTGTCAGCAAGGGAGGATGAGAAAAAAAAAGTATGAGAGTGCGTAAGGATAAACGATACGATTATGTTGCTTTTGAAGATGATGATGATGGGAAAAATTGAAGAAAGAGAAAATGGAAGATGGCAGACGGTAATCTGAAGATAAAGGAGAAGAAAAACAATAAAGGTGGGATTTGTTATTTCTTTTAAGGTTTATGAACTTATTTGAAGAGACCCGGTGTTTTCGCCGTGAAATGAACGATAATGGCAGTGAAGAAGACAAAAAAAACAATGATAAAGGAGATGGTGATGATAAGGAGGAGGAGGAGGAGGCGGAGGAGGAGGCGGAGGAGGAGGCGGAGGAGGAGGCGGAGGAGGAGGCGGGATGGGAGATGATAGCGATGATGATGATGAGAAGAAGGGGGAAAAGATGTTAATGATGATGATAATGAAAGGGAAAAGATGAGGATGTGGGCGGTAAAAATGATAATGATGATTTAAGGGTGGCTAAAAAATAATGATATTGACGAGCGGGAAAATAATAATGAAGATGATGATGATGAGAAGGGGGGAAAGATGATGGTGATGATGAGGATGATAATTATGACGATGATGACTTGGAGGAAAAGCGACGCGATGAAAATGGTGATGATGATGATGATAAGGGGGGGGAGATCATAACGATCATGAGAATGATGAAAAGATGATTATGAGAGACGATCATGATGGCGACGGTAGGGGAGGGAAGATGATGATTATGACTGGGGCGGGGGGGGTAAAAGATGATGATGTTGATGAGGAGAGCGTAAGAGATGATGATGATGATGACATGGGGGAAATATAATGATTTTTTTTAAGCGTTTTACCTCAAGCAAGGCGGGAAGCCACTAGGACGCAAGGCGTTACAGAAAATTTGGAGCAAGATCAGATAGGAGTGATAGAAGAAAGGATGAGGAGAAGGGTAGTGGATAGATCAAGGCAAACTGGAGATGTCGATTGACATTACACTTGAATAGCTGGAGATTATAGCTCACAGGGAAACTGGAATAGGGAAGGGAGTTCCACAGGCGAGAGGTGCGAGACATGAAGCTATTGGAGTAGAAGAGACGGCTACATTTAGGAGTTTCGACAGTGAAGGGGTGAGAGCGGGATGCCAGCCTCGTAGGGCGCTTGAACTCATGAAGTCTGGGAACCAGCGAATGCAGCTCCTCGGAGCAATTGCCATGAAAGTATTTGTAGAACAGACAGAGATGATGAGAGGAAAAATATGATGATGTGTGCGGTAAAGATGATGAAGATGATGATGATGAGGGCGGTAAAGTTGATGATGATGATGATGATGTGGGCGGTAAAGGTGATGATGATGATGATTTGGGGGGGAAAAGATGATTATATTGATGTGGGTGGTAAAGATGATGATGATGATGATGATTAGGGGGTGTAAAAGATGATGATGATGTGGGCGGTAAAGATGATGATGATGATGATGATGATGATGATTGGGGGGGTAAAAGATGATTATGTTGATGAGGGTGGAAAAAATGATGGTGATGATGATTATGATGATGAGAGGGTGAAAGATGATAATGATGATGATGATGATGTTTAGGTGGAAAAGATGATAATGGTGATGGGGTGGGGGAAAGATGACAAAAAAGAAAATGGAGGATGAAGGATAGGATCTTGATCTTGAAAGAGTGAACAAATGGATCATGAACCGCAGTCGAACAAAGATGATGAAGGAAGCGAAACAGACGACGACAAAATGTGATTGGTTGATTTTCTTTCACGGCATATCGACATCTCTATGGGTTATTTAATGCCGAGATCTAAATATTTTGGGGCATATTTTTTTTTTTTTTTTTTTTTTTTGTAGATAATAATGGTTTTAGTGACACAAGCCTTATCAATAATTAACAAGTATCTGGGGCTGAGAGGACGAACAGGCGGAATCATATCTTTCCAAAGAGTATTTGCGCGTGAGTGAGTACAAAGAACCCAACTGCAAATGGAACTCGGCTCTCAGATTAAATATTACGATCCATTATCCATTACACCATCCGCACATCCAAGCTTACAGCCTCCGATTTTAATGTATCTTTGAAGATTTTCAAAATACAGAAAGCTTGAAGTGGAAAGCAAAAAATGTGACAGATGAGAAACTCAGTAATTCCAGTTGTAGTTGAAGCACTCGGATTGATTGGAAACGGTTCTGATACACTCATTGAAGAGATTCCTGGTAAGCCATGACTAATGTTCCGTGACACATAGGGACACCATGTGTACTTTAGCCACAGTAGAAATGGTGTTTCTTTGGCGAGATAGCATTATGGAACCCAAATCTCAAGGCCGGTTTTCATTTCATAGTTCTTCCTTCTCTTAATACTGCTGTCTGTACTGCTCTTTACTCATAGGAAGAAGGAGCGGATTCATACCTTTCCCAAGGGTATTAGCACGTAAGTGAATGTAATGGATTCGACTGGAATTCGAACTCGGCTCTCTGATTTCTCAATCTAAGCCGCTATCCATTACTCCTCCGGGAAAATCTAGAAGAGGATTCATACCTTTCCCAAGGGTATTAGCACGTAAGTGAATGTAATGGATTCGGCTGGAATTCGAACTCGGCTCTCCGATTCCTCAATCCAAGCCGCTATCCATTACTCCTCCGGGAAAATCTAGAAGAGGATTCATACCTTTCCCAAGTGTATTAGCAAGTAAGTGAATGTAATGGATTCGACTGGAATTCGAACTCGGCTCTCCGATTCCTCAATCCGAGCCGCTATCCATTACTCCTCCGGGAAAATCTAGAAGAGGATTCATACGATTCCTAAGGGTATTAGCACATAAGTGAATGTAATGGAGTCGACTGGAATTCGAACTCGGCTCTCCGATTCCTCAATCCGAGCCACTATCCATTACTCCTCCGGGAAAATCTAGAAGAGGATTCATACAATTCCCAAGGGTATTAGCACGTAAGTGAATGTAATGGATTCGACTGGAATTCGAACTCGGCTTTCCGATTCCTCAATCAGAGCCGCTATCCATTACTCCTCCGGGAAAATCTAGAAGAGGATTCATACAATTCCCAAGGGTATTAGCACGTAAGTGAATGTAATGGATTCGACTGGAATTCGAACTCGGCTCTCCGATTCATCAATCCGAGCAGCTATCCATTACTCCTCCGTGAAAATCTAGAAGAGGATTCATACAATTCCCAAGGGTATTAGCACGTAAGTGAATGTAATGGATTCGACTGGAATTCGAACTCGGCTCTCTGATTCCTCAATCCGATCTGCTGTCCAGCTGTGTGCCTTAAAACATGCAAAAACATTTGTACTTACATTACAGCTCACAAATTACCATGGTCTTTATGTAAAATGGGTGGGATCTTTGGTTTTATTTTCGTTAGGTTACAAAAATGATCAGTGGAAGATGTTATGAAGCTATTTTTGACCTAAGGTCTCTGGTTGGGACCCGGAAGGAAATGTGGGTACAACAGAAAGCAAAGGAGATCATGACAATGATAATAATGATAATCCAATACTCAGTGTCCATGCGTTATAGTAAAAACGTTAAAATGTTCCTTTCTCTCTGCTGTGCGACAATAGCTTATAGGTAGAATCTCTGACTGATGCCAGATCGGTTGGCTTTCGATCCCTGTTTGAAAGACTCGGGCGTCTAGCTACGCTGATGAGGTGTGATATAGTGAAACAGTCTGTCTCTGGTTGAGTATTTATCCAAGAAATAATTAGGTGGATCTCTCGGTAATTTTATAAGTTGCTGCTGCTAATGCTATGCTCTTCTAGAATCGAGCTCTCCCAGCCACTGAAGTATTTCATATAGTAAAAACTTTAAAAGTGTCCATTTCTCTCTGGCGTGCGGCGGGTAAAATCTCTGACTGATGCCAAATAGTTCGGATTTCGATCCCGGTTTCAAACCATCGGATGTCGAGCAACACTGATGAGGTGTGATACAGCGAAAAAGCCTGTCTATGGATGACCATATATATATATATATATATATATATATATATATATATATATATATATATATATATGGGGGGTGCGTGTGTGTGTGTGTTGAGAAATGGGGAACTAGACATCGGCAAGAGGGCACTGGTGCAACCACATCTTCGCTTTAAAGATGTCTGCAAAAGGGACACTTAGGTGATGGACATGAACATCGAGAGGTGGGAAGATGGCGTCAAAGATCATTCAAGCTGGAGACGCGATTTACGCTGAGGGCTTCAGCGAGGAGAGAAGA